TTTTTTAATGTCCTTTCGTCTATTTTCTAACCTTTCACAGAAAGAAAGAAAAAAGAGAATGGTCCTAGTTACAATAATGATTTTTTTCAACTTCGCACAGTTAAGTATAATTGAAGAGGCTCAGGCACTAGAGGGAATGCATTTAACCCGTGAAATATATTTTAAAAAACTAGTCAATCTGTAATAGTCAAATAGACACAAAAGAAAACAATGGAATTAGGGTCTACTAATGTGTATTAGTCTAATATCTATTTCACAGGTTTCATGACTTCACTCTAAGCTTGTCTGAGCAAAATGCTTTTCAATGTAAATGGCGTCTTAATTCTTTTGTATCCATAGCTAGCCATCTTTGTAATACTTTGCCATCTAATGCCAGAAATGCTGTTAATGACAACAAAAGTATTGTAAGTAAACTAGATTTCGTACCATTTATATATTGTTAGATTTTCGTATTATATATATTATATTTTGTTTATAATTTTTTTATTATCATATTGTATTTTTTAGTTTTTAATATAAATTCTGGCTGCTTCCAATATATATACAAGTATATCAAAACCATATCAAAGATTATGGGATATCATCCCCAATATTTTTTTCGAGTTTTCTATCACTAGGGCTTTCTAAAAAAAATATCAAGAAAGATATCCCGTCGTGTCTGATATTCTTTTGATATACTCGTACGTATATTTGAAACGGCCATAATTTTTGCAAATGGCTGTATATATATATAATTCACTGAAGATGCAGCGGTCGCCATATCATTAAAAAAATGTTATACGTTTATTTCGTTTATCTTTGGCAAAAACGTACAACCTCGTAATAAATTGTGTGACTTCTTGGTGTCACACTTGTAAGACACACTTGAAGATGCAGCGGTCACCATATCATTTAAAAAAATGTTATACATTTAGTACTTCGTTTACCTTTTGCAAAAACGTACAACCTCGTAATAAATTGTGTGACTTCTTGGYGTCACACTTGTAATTTTGAATAAAAGAGTCACACGGAAGAATACCCTYAAACAATAATGTTTTCAACAATCAATACTTTTCAAAAAACATTAGCACATTCAGATGATCATCATACTACGAAATGCTCGCCTGATTGAACACATCGTTCCCTCAGAATATTACACGACGTATGGAGACGATATGCTTCATAAGAAAACTCGTCCTAAACTACTAAGAACTAGTTTAAAAAGTCATACCAAATTCTTCTATAGAAAACTGAATASTAGGGGGAGTGTTTGTTGGCTATATCAGGATGTATTTTGCGAAAACTCCGAACGTTTTAAGGACAGTTTAGCAAAATGAACAAGCTCGCAAGAAGACAAGAACAACCAGCCATATCGACAAGAAAAGTAAGTGGTCTCACAGAAGATTAAAGAAAAGGATTTGAAACAGAATGACTTAGAATCAATACTATATATTTTTGCTTACTGGACTCAGAAAACTTTTGATTAACTTGTGGCCCGTGAGATCTTATATAGTAAACTTCAATTAACTAATGATGTAATTCTAAGCCAAGTACATTTACTACATATGTATGACATCATTTGTCTGGGTATAGTATCTTAAGTCAAATGCATGAAACTTAAAGAATTTCAGGTCTAATTTCTATAAACTATGAATTGTATTGCACGTAGTGAGAATCAGCACATGATAYATGTGTATTTAGACTGTGTCTTTAGATAATAATCAATACCAATCCACTAATTGATTTGAATTGATATCACTGGTTCAGTTGCAGACAGYAACATTTGTCTGCCATCAATATTTTGGGGAACAAATATAAACAATTCTAATTGTATGAGGACTACATTGTGATATTTTGAATGCTTAACCTTCAATTTGCACCTGTGGTTGGCGGGCACACCTATTACGCGACCACTCTGGTCGGAATTTAAACTTCATACGTTCGTGATGATTTAAAGGGCATTACGAGCAACTCGAGCTCATGGTCCTCGTTTATTTTAAAGTAGGTTATCTTCTAGCTACCGTCAGCGGCTGTTACCTCTACTGATTATGCGGCCAAACATCATCATCATTATCATCATCATCAT